TGCAGCTACAATGCCCAGTGAATGACCCAGCAAGAACTTTGGTACCCTCAGTGATATTTGTGGAGAAAATTTTATTCTCTTTATTTGAATGCAGAACTGCTATCATATCATACAGTGCTATGGTCTGTAGCAAGCAGCCAACAAATTCTAGCAGTATGAAGATTTTGTCCCATGGACAGATCAATTATGAAGAAGAAGGCCTAACCTTTAGTTTTATCTCTACTAGTTATCTTCCCAAGCAACTTCAGCATGTTCATTCACCTTCTAGGAAGGTCAAAACCAGCTCAATTTTACTTTGGAATAAGTTGGCTTGGACCTTTAATATCCGTGCCTCGATACCCACTAGGAAGAGTGGAGCAGCAATGCTCATCCAGCAGAGCATTAATATTCACTATAATTAATGCTTTTTGGTCATCTTCAAAGGGAAATGTATTTCCCATTTCTTTTAACACACAGAAATTGATGGATGAACAAATCAATCAATTTATACCATGCTCAGTGCTAGACAGCTCTTAGTGCTTGGTGGCAATAAAGGACAACATAAAAGTAAAGCCAGCAATCCTAATTAAAAGCATGCTCAGTGAGACACAACTGTGGCTTGGTCCTAACGAGTGTGCAATAGAGATAATGTAAAAGCAATTACTTTAGCAGAGGCAATTTACTGAAAAATTGTTTTTACTGAGCACTAACTTATTCAGTCCATGGGCTTGCTGCCAAGCAAGAGCCAATTAGTGCCACTGGCTATGGGGACACGGAGATGTGGCCACCTGCCTGCTGAGACGCACCCCGCATCATTTCACGGACACCTCGTGGTTCCTTGGGGTCTGTGTGAATGCCACTTCTAACTCACACAGACTCAGCAATATGCTCAGCAATATGCACTGGTACAGCATCTTTCATCCTGGGTGACGCCCCAGCACAGTACTAACTTAGTAAACTAATCTACAGTCTGCATTTCTTTTTTCAACCGTGATGTGTGACATGCCTACGCTAGACTTTAGGGTGAGATGTACTGGTGTAAATCTCGCATTGCTGCATTAATTTCTGAATTTCCATCAGTTTAACTGAGACATGTATCTGGCTTTCCGATCAGAATGCACTTCTTACAGGACTGAAGTTCAGTTGACCCCCCAGTTTGCCAGTGACCTGGAGAGGCAACTGACAAAACGCAAATGAAAGGAGCATTCAGGTTCCCTTACCGAGGACTGTGATGAACTAGCAGTGACATAAAAATCAAAAGATAACCTCTGGGCTTTTTCTGCCATTCATAGGATTTCTGAAGTCAAGTAACACTCACTAAATTTTCATTAAAAAAAAAAAAAAAAAGTAAATGTGTAGCCTTTTGGTTGCAATTCAAGTTCTAATAAAACTGTTTATTGAACTCCTTGACCCCTTCCTGGAATCTGCCTGAGCTTCCCAGAACTTGGTGTCATGTGGCTCTCGGTCATTAATAACCAAGTATGACACAGCACTTTAGACGCACAGCAGCCTTTTCTGCCTTCCAGCAGGCGCCAGGACAGCGCGGAGAGCACAAACAGCTCAGCCCCGGCTGCGGGAGCCAGCCCCAGTGCAGCGTGGCCGTGATGCAGCGGCGAGCAGAAAGGGCAGGGGCAGGAAGTGATTCATCCGAGTACTGTACAACGTGCGGGACATGATCAAAAAGATCCCAGCGTCCGGGCAGTACAGCGCTGGGCAAACGGCTCTGGGCTCCATCCCGGATTGATCTCCCCCTGTGTTTACAGGGACGGGCTCCTCCAGCGGCCAGCTGCGCATTAAAGGCAGCGGCTGGTGCTAAAGAGGGTCAGTGAATCCAAAGACCTCTGGATACATGGCTGATCTGTTCTGTCCACCCACTCATTTACGTTTATAGAGCCCTTCTGGCTTCTGCCTGGAAATCTTTGGCTTTCAAACTGGAGATCTCTCCAGCGGTTCTCCAGCTTTTGGCCTGCATTAGTGTTCGCAGAATCTGTTCAGCTGTTTCCCTGCCAGTTCCCAACCCCTTGCAGCCCCCCCGGCCCACCCCAGCCCCATGGCTACTTAATCATCTCTTCTTGTGACAGCCGGGCTGTGGTTAAGAAACTTTGAGTGTCAGTTTCCAAAGGGCAGAGCTGTTGTGTCTGCTGTGGCAAGATACATTCCAGGTATGATCTGCCTCCCCACTCACATGCCGAAAAGAAGAAAAGGCAGGAATATTCCTGTACGCAGGAGCTGATCACATTCCAGTGTGAGATGCTGCACTGGAGCTACAGGGAATGAATAAGGCTCATTGTGAATTGATTCAGAAGTCGAATCTGTGCCAAATTTGTATTTAGTTACACACATGCACCTCCTATAAACCAAAAAGTTGTATGAATCTATGGGGAAAATGAGGTTACTTTCTATCAAGTTCCTTGTGTTGTCATTCACTGTGATTTTACTGGAGCGGCTCAGAAGTTGCTGCAGGAACTTCAGTGGGGAAGGAATAGGGAGGAGGGAAAATTGGAATATCAAACTACGTGGAAAATAATACATTAAATCAAATTATGGTTTTACTTTCCTTCCTGTTTGTGCCCTAAGCTTCCTGTACTTATTTCTCCCTGTCTCTTTCCATTGTATCTGCAACACATGTTTGCAAACACCACTTCTTGGCATGCTCAGTTCAGTTAAAGTTCATTTGTTAAGAAAAGAGAGATGGCCCTGAACCCCTGGAACAAAATCTCCAGCACCTCAGTCTGCCACTCCAAGCGTCAGGCAAGCCTTGACCCACCTTCTCAAATACAAACACAGCACAGATATGTCATTTTAAACAAAAACAAGCATATGGAAAGAAAAAAAAAAAAACAACAAAAAACAAAAAACATTTGCCTCCAACCCCAGTCCTCCCTCTGGGCAGAGAATGAGAGAACGAAGTGCTTGCAGCAGTGTTGCTTTATGCAAGGCTGGGAGGTGTTCAGAAAGTACGGTGAGGGGACTGCTGTTGACACTACTCTAGAAAAAATCCAGCATTCAGAGAAGGAAAATGCTCTAGACCACGAGATTTGCAGTATACCCAACAAGTTAAAGGCTCACTGCCTAGTCATCTACTCTAGGCTGTTAACTGGTCATTTACTCTGCACAGCTAACGGGTGTTAGCTAACACATTCCACATCCTGGTCTAGACAAAGCCTAGAAGCAAGGAAAGCAAACAAATTACACATGGAGTAAAGACTGTACCAGAGAGAAAAAATGAAGAGAGACACTGTGAGAAAAGAGGCACAGACAAAGAGGAAGACAATGAAATGGAAAAAAAAAAAAAAAAAAAAAAACTATCTTCGTAATGAGCAGGACCAGCTGAGCTTTCGAGGGGTGCTCTTCTTCCTAATCCATAACACATGCTCCTTAACTCCAGTTATGTGTTTGTTTATTTGTTGTGTGTTTTTGTAAAATGAATCACCCTCAGAAAAAAAAGCATGGATTTAAATTACAGAGGGCAAAAATCTCATTGTACGTCAGCTACTTTGGCAAACTCCATAGGTAGTTCAAGAGGAAAAGCTACTTGGGAATTTTCCGATGAAGTGTTTCTCTGATTTTCTTTAAAGGAAAACGATACTATGTTGAACCTGCAACTTCATGGGAACAAGCACTGGAGATGTCCTATTTTGTATAAATATTAAATATGTATTGAACTTAGTCTCCAACATCCCACAGAAGCACTCTGACCGTTGGGACTCAAAATGATCTCTTTATTTAGGTCCAGTGCTTTGCTCAATTTTTAATCAAAACAGAACAGCACAACAGGAGCGCCCTAAAGCAAGCACTGGGCTGGTGATTAATACCTTCACATTAGACTTGGGGCATGAGTTCCACTTCTGGGTTTGACTTATGAAATCTCTCACAACCCAACTAATTGTCCTAGCTACTGGGCTAGTAATTACTTTCGGTTAACGCTTGCATGTTCCTCATTACAATTTGGGGAAGGTGAACATTTTAACCCAGTGTAGAGAAGAAAATGCTTCAAGAGCTTGAAAATTTTAACTGGTCTGAAAGACTGCTTCATAGTTAGTGACTTGTTTTGCATGTTCATGTTTTTCAGGTTTGAAGACGGGTATATGCTACATGTTTGTAGACTCAGTATGTGGATTACATGGCCAGGTATTTGGGGACGGTGTGGTTTGACATGTGTACTTCTTGCAGTGTGGGTTATGTGCTTCGTGTTCCTTTGTACATGGATGGTTTAAGTGCATCTTGCACATGTGATATCATCTTGACATAAAGTCATATTTAGTTAACCATAATTTAGATTGAATAGATGGGCTGGGCTTCTTCCTTTGGCTCCTTATTTTTCTTGGGCTCTTATGACTTTGACACACAGAACTTGGCGGTAAGAATTGAAGACACATGATCAATTGGCAGGACTGACAGCTTTGTTAGATAGTCACTTTTGGCATCTCCTAATAAACAGAAATTAGTCAATACGAAGTCCCTTTATGTAAGGGCACCAAAACATCCTTTGTATTTCTGGATATCTACCAAAAACATATCTGGAGAAAATCTTCACATTTCCTTTTGCCTCTTAAATGTCAAATGCAGAAGTAAGTACAAACACATCCTTCCATCCAGTTTCCCTGTCCTGATGGTGTGAAATAAGCAATAGCACAGCAAGGATGAGGTATAACTACTATTTCTCTGTTCTGAAACCTTACTGAACAGAAGAGTCTGTCTGCCACCTCTGCTGACCAGAAAGGAGTCCTGCCCACATCCTCCAGGCCCTCTCCATCCAGAAGCAACAAGCTCCCATAGTTTACTTGGAGTCACACAAATGTTTGTAGGAATTGAAACTAAAACTCTACGTCAAACTAATACTAACTGGCTAGATAACGATATTGAGACTGAATTTCAAATAAGTAAAGACACTCGCCTCCACATTCTGGGGGGAAGATGCTAGGTATGAATTCAGTTTGGATATGAAAGAGATGGATTAGATTAGCGATGCCCAGTCTCTTGGTGCCAGTGGTTCCTAACGAAAGCACTTGAGGACAGTCAGCTTTGGTCCTTCAGGCCCAGGAGGCTGGACATGTTTTCAGTCAACTGAAAGGGAGCTGCCTTCTTGTTATGTCAGCATGTGGATGCTGTCATCATATGGGATATATTGTGGGCACGACCTACCCAGAGCATTACTGTTACATTACCAGACAGGAGGGACATCTGCATTTTGATCATTGACAGAGACATCTCCCACCATTAGACAGAGAAAAGGAAGCAGAGATGGGGCCGAAGACCACCAGGGTCAGGCTCACGGTCACCTCCCTGCCCGTTTGTGTCCCCAGGAGAGGAGGCAGCAGGAAGTGCTTGGGAAAGTTCACTCAACAGTTAAATCCCCTACGTGAATGAAGCCTTGAGCCTGTTTTGCTTCAAACAATGTTCCATTCAAAGTATGACTCAACTCTTGGGGCCTGATCCAAAGCCCACTAAAGACAATGAGAGTTTTTCCATTGACTTTAGCAGCCTTTGGATGAGGGCCTTGATCGTGATCCTGAAAGCCTGATTTCACATGAGAAAGCCTACACGCAAAAAGAGCAAATCCAGAAATCCTTGCTGAGATTTTACCCGATCCTTTCACAGGTAAGTATTCCAAATATGCCAATGAAGCTAATTTAGGCCAATTGCTCGCTATCCTGAACTTCACATAATATTTGATGATCACAGAAATTGATAAGGATAAATCCTTTGGTCCTACACTCCTGCTGAACTGCTTCTGTTTGCAGAGATGCTAAACTGTTCTTCCTCCATCTTTATTTTACCTGGTGTTGTCAGAACGCGATTCAGGAACCATGTAGTACATGCTATACATAGACAGTTCAGGTTATGGCCTCAGGTCCAGTTATACCTAAACGTGTTGTCTTCATTACAGAAAGTTAAGGTGTTTGAACTGTAGTGTAGGTAAAATAACTAGGACCAATGCTTTCACATGCTGTTTTTGTGGGCCAGGATGTTTTTAGTCGTATGTATATTACCTTTTTTGGCCATTTTGGAAGACATAACTAATTATGTTTGAAGGAGATTTCTTTAAACCCCAGCATTCGACCATAAAAGAAGCAAAGCAACATCTGGGCTTTGCGGCTTCTCCACATAGGCTGTATGTATTTTCATATCAAATACCATCTGAAAACAAAAAAATTCTAGACATCACTCTCTATATAAACGTACTGTCCAACCATAACTCTTTGATTGGCCAGCTATCTATTGAGACACCTTGCTTATCTGCATACAGCTGGAGAGCGTGGTGCATGTTAAAATCCCTTGGATGCTACTAATCACAGACTCGACTCAACAGTTTTGTTTTTTTTTTATGCCTGAGAAAGTTTTTTGTATGAACATTGTTAGCCCTTTTCTTCAGTGTATATTAAATGGTATATAAATAATAATTGATTGTCCTGGTGGAGTCACAGCACACAAAAAAGAATGCTTCTGCTCATATGGTTTGTATTAACTTCATAAGGGAAACACAGTATATGGGGATTTTTAAATTTTTTTTGCTTGTATGTCTACACCCTGGCTGCTGCCCACAGAATTATTTTGGTCAACACAGAGAATGATACAGCCTCGATATGAACGGGGTCCAACATGACTCAGAGCACAAGTAATACAGTAAGGAGTGCTAATGAGGGGAATGGAGACAGAGCAGCTCCTTTACGTCCACACTGAATCCTGCAGTAAATCTACTCTGGTGATTTCTGCCATAACTTTACCTTGCATGCTGCCTCATTGTAAGCACAGCTAAAACCTCAGATTCCCTCACAGGACCGAATGCTCAGGATCCATCTATAAATGTCATTTCCCAGGATAATCCTTGACTTTTGTTAGGGTCTGTTATTTCCCACTCAATACCCACAGCTTTTTAATTGGTTATTATTATTTCGTATTACATTTGAAAATTTTAAGAGTCTCTTAAGAAGCAGAAAAGGAGAAATAATTAAATAAAAATGTAGAGAATAATCCAAATCCCGTGTGACTTTGCAGATGTGACAGACATTGATTCTTGCCCTTGAGGAAGCGGACAGGAAGCTGTGGTGGGCCTGAGCTCTCAGCCGTCATTTGACTGCAAAATATTCCCTTAGGACTAACTTTGTAATATACGATCACACAAAACCCATCAGCAGCTCCTGCACGCAAGCTCTGTGACGTATCCTGTACTGTTGCTACTTTGCTTACGCTGGGATGATATTTTACATTATTTTGATGCTGGTGTAATACAATGGATACTTTTAAATGGATTTAAGAACAACCACTGACCTGCCACATGACTTTGGGCAAGTGACTTGTGTGTGTTGTTTTTTATTCTTTGATATTCTTTCAGACCTTTAGTTCCTCTTTTAATCACAAATTAAAGTATGAACAGTGATGACAAGAAAAGGAAAAGATGCAACATGAGCACCGTACACGGAGAGTGAAGGTAATACAACACAAATGATTTTCAAATGGCATCTGCACCCAGCCTTGGTACAAAATCAGACCAATTTTATATGTATGCCTTCTTTTGCAGCCAGTTTTGAATGATTAGCTTGTTTGATTTGCTAGGTAAGTTCACACACTGTCATTCCACGTAGAAAAGTGCAAGAGCAAACTTCAGCTTTAAGGTGGACAATCATTAAAAATAAGCAGAGATTAAGACAGCACTCCTACCATTGACACTGGTGCGTGCTGAGTTCACGTGATGGCGGCAGTACTACATCCTCATTGGTACAAGATTTCATGTGCTGTACTAAAGACTTAACTACTGCTTACCATCATTTGACTTAGGGTCATGCACAGACAGTTCCTTGGATGCCCAGTCTCCTACTCAATGGTCTACACACGGTGAGGGCTAGACATGTTGTTAGTATCTGTAAGGTATCCAGATCATACTATTGATTTAAATTCAAGCTATCTTTCAAAATGCAGCTTTGAGACGGAAAAGCCACTTATCATGAAGAGAGGACCTGTAATAACAGAAATGGGAAGACAGGAAGGAGAGACTGGAAAGCACAAAGGCTCCACCAATGACTACTAGTGCTTGACTGACCCTCGCCTGCGCAATCCAAGATGGGTGATTTGATTAGAAAAAGTGTGGTAAACAGGAAAAGAATGTGGAAGGAAAAAATAAACATACAGGGCTGAAAGAAGACTGATACAGAAATTCCACGCACTGCTTGCTGTTAATAGTTAGTGTCTGTGTGACACATTCACACCATAGCAGGGTGGGTGGGGCTGGGTTTTGATCCTTGCCTGATTGACGTTAATGACATTCTTCCAATGGCTGTGGCTTTCCTCATACCACACCCAGGAGGGGTCAGAGGCAAATTCCTCCTGAGTATTAATGTGAAAAAAAACACTTTTTAGTCAAGTTTTTAAATGATGCCAGGTGTTTGCTCTGGTTGCATTAATGAGTCTAGAATCGTCAGAGCTCAGCCTGCACTACCCAGCAATGAACCTACATCTCAGCTCTTAAGACTGCATCCGCTATCCGTTCTTAATCCACTTCCAGCTACTAAAATGATTGTACTCATCTCTATGATATTGCCTCTTAAGCAGTGGAAGACAACAACATCTGTGAGTGTGGATCCCTGCCCAACATAGTATTGTCAGTTGTGGTGTTTATTTGTGTTGCCTAGAAGCCCCATTAACAGATTGGGATTGTCTGTGACAGCCGTGAAACAAAAGCGTTGCACTTTCCATGGAAGGGTTATTTACCCCTGTTGCTTTTGTTCTGTCTGCCATGAAAAGCCTTACTTTCTGCCAATGAAAATAAGAAGCAAAAATCGAAAGCAGTGCAGGTCTGCTGCCTTTAATACAGCAGGACTGTCGGATCTGAAGCAGTCACTGAGCAAAGCTGTCAAAGCATTCTGCAAAGCTGAAACCCTCTAATAAACTAAACCGTGAGCTTCTGAGCCCAGTTCCTGAGACCATGGCAAAAAAAAAAAAAAAAAAGAACAAAAAAAAAGAATCATGGCCTCTTACGTGAGTCTTTCTTAAGAACAACACCATACAAATGCACTGCTTGCTTTGAAAGTGAAAGGCAACATTTTCCGATGTTGTGTACCTAAACAAGAGGTCACACTGCTGTGCTGAACACTCAACAGAGCCCAGAAAAGCTAATGGCAAGCGTTAAACATCAGATTTTGTGAATATTGGAAGCTTTTTTGTGTTAGACCCTTAATTTTAGGAGTTCTAATTTATGGATAGATTCATGCCGCATTTAAATTCTGTACTGCCAATGGATCTAGCAAAATCAATGTGCTGAAGACTTCAAGAGGCGGTTTCATAACAGCTCGGTAGGAAGTCTGTGAAACCTGTATGCCATGGTACTCACGCTAGCCTCGTTGCTGTACCCCTGGCACAGCTGGTACTTGCATGTTCTGTCCTGTTCTCTTTCCCAGCCTTGCAATCTCTCAGCAGGATCAGTAAGAGCCCTGTGGAAGCAAAACGCAGACTGGCCTGGATTGTTCCAATGTCTGCAAACGCGTGGTGCAGCTCCTTGGGGTGGAGAAGGGATGCCTTCCTCTTACCCACCTTGCACACACCGAGGCGATGGCTTAGCCCATGCCTGATCAGGAGTTAGTTGGGCTGCTGAACAGGCAGCGTGCACTGCCTCAACTGGTGCTCCTCACCCCTCACAAGGAAGTTATGGGCACTTTTAATCAGGGATGTGGTAATTACCAAGTTCCACTAACACTGAGCCCTGCACAGACCACGGACCCCCAGCACGTAGACCTCAAGTGTGAAATCATCACATACTGACAGTACAGCGTTACACATATGCACAACTCCGAATCTTTCAGGTATAGAAATTCCTTCAGGGTCTGAAAACCTGGCTAAGGGTGGGTGCAGATCTATTTATAACAAGACAAATATTTGCTGATGCATGTGTAAACACACACACACACACACACACAAAAAAAGGAAGGTAAATCCTTCAGTGAATTAGAATACATTCTGAACAAGTGAGATTAAATAGTGAAATACTTTCATAAGAACATTCTGGATTAAATTCTTAGAACTTCGCTTCTAGAACAGAAACCCAAATTAGTCTTTTAACTGTCTGCCTATCCCAAATTTTGCAAGAACATTTTTTTCTTTCTTTTTTCCCTTTCCCTGGTGACCCAGTCACACATATGTGTTTTTTCAGGATTACAACAATGACTCCTTCTCAAAGATGGTGCTATTCCACACTTCACATCAAGGCTGCGAGTTGAGGCTCAGAATGCTAATCATGCAAACAAGAGTAACAGATCAATCAGCTGCTGCACATCAGCAGCTGAGGACAAACACCAGACACCAACAGGCTTCAAAAGACCAGAGTCCTAAAATGCTTAAACATATTATATTTCCCTTATTATAGTCCTCTGAGGTTGCAGTCCTTTCTGAAATGAAACATCTTCCCCACAGAGTGTGCTCTATATCTAGGTCAGGCCTTTCCAGAGGGAAGTGGGGACGGGCACAAGTTTTCACTAGGCACTGGGGTTTTCACTGCCACCAGCCAACCTCAGCAGCGCCACGTGCCTGACAGTGCATCTTCTGGGCAAATCACTCCAATACGCAGCTGCCCGAATTTTCACATGTATTATGTTAGTTACTGGTCAGTAAATTACACTGAAAAGTAACACTAGAATTTTTTGGCCATGAAGATATTAAAGAGAAAAAAGTATTTATTACTGTTATTCCGATACTAGCAAGATCCGCAGAAAGACCGGGGACCACAAAATGACAATCCATGCACACAGGCAGTAATAAGGAAATCCAGGTGGCTTTGCTCACCATGTAAAAGGACATGCTAGCAGAAAAAGGCAGGAGAGCTCAGGGATTGTTATCCTCGGATTACAGCTAAGGAAAATGAAGCACAAAGAGTTAAGTATGCAGGATGTGTCTTTGAACAGCCTACGAGTTTTCAGTTGTGCTCAGAGGGACTGAGGTTTCAGAAGAGCTATTTACAGAGAGGAACCAGAGCCTGGACTTGTAGTGTCTTCAAACTGTTTTTCTCATATGGGAAGGAAGGACACAGCACACCAAGGAAGTGGGTTTCCAGCTGTTCTGATACACTCTGAAGTATCTGTACCATCAGACAGTATTGATCTTTGGGGCCCAGTCAGACACACTGCTCGCCATTACTGCAATGTGCTTCGTAAGCCTGGAAACAGAAAAATATCACACCCAACCCCATACTTCCTTAGTGCAGCTTTTCCTGCATCTTATCATCTATCTTTGATGGAGTCACTTATAAGCTGCATTGACTTTGGGAGTCTGTGAGCTGCCTCTTCCCATTGCTTTGCAAATCTGAGTCAGGCACACAAACAAGAGAGACGGGAAAAAATAGAAAGGGAGAAGTGGTTAAGGCATTCCTCTGTGACGCAAAAGGCAGTGATGTCAGAATTCAGAGACCACAGACACCTCTGCCAAAATGAATGGGATTCCAGCAGGCTCCAGCTGGTCTTATGGTTTGTGCATTCTGCGTTGTTTCCTGGATACCAGCAATTCCCAGCTGTAAACTGAACAACCATTAACCCCTTCCCTCTTGTGGGTTTCCAGACAGTCACTCACCAGGGAGGTTTTTCCCTTGCTGGTAGAAGATTCCAACATTTCATAATCGAGCATCTTGTATGAATCAATGGTTAGTTTAAAAATAACCCCTTGACCCGAACTGTCTGGGAGAGCCATCGAGAACAATGACAACGAGACACTTTTATACAAAGCGATGTTTCTTATCTGATCCCTCAACTGCATGCTGGTGGCCTTGAGTTCAATTCCCCGTTTACCCATGTGACTTGTTACTTTTTCCATTTTTCCAGGATCTTATTTTTCCATTCTTTTTTTTTTTTTTACCCTTTTTTTTTTTTCCCTCCCCCTTCAAGCCCATTTTTTCTTCATATCTCTGCAACAGAAGATAAGACGTGACTCCAACTCTGAAGTTACAGCGGGAATACATCTGAAACCCTGGACCTGACACACAACTCCCAGAAATTTTTGTGAGGGAAAGCATCCAAATTCTTAATCTAGTGCCTGATTCCCTTCTGGCACAAACTGAAAACCTAATTTTGGATCTCAAAACCCTGAACTTCCCGAAAGTAAAAATCTAGGCATGGATTTTTTTTGGCTGAGGTAGCCCTCCCACTGCTGGGAGTGAACAAGAATCTGAACAAAAGCCAGACCAAAATAACCAAACATCTTAATTATTAATCACTATTAATCAAATTGAATTTAAGCTGCAAGGGCAGGTCCCACTGCTCTTCTCTCTGGGTACTGACTGAAAGAACAGGGAGCCAATGAAAAACTTAACTCAGGCGGCGACATCCCAAACCTTATCAGCTGGCAAGCACAACCTACGTGCTACTTTGAAATGTGTTTTTGCTGTGCATCAAAGTAGTGAAAAGACAAATACATATAACATCAGGGCAAGTTAAAAATATCACCGTTACATTTTTCAACAGGAAGTGGATATGCTTGTCCAAAACCTAAAAATGTAAGTAGCTCTGTAAGAGCTCAATTCCGTTTCTAGCCTGATAAGTGCAAGCTGCTGCTGCTGTCACACTAGGCCCTGATACGTTCTGGGTAATTATCCGACAAGGAATGTGGGTCAGTGATTCCCAATCAATAAGCACCACTCTCCTCCTTGAGACGGTCTCTCCGTGCCCAGCGTGAGGCACTGAAGGACGGGTCGTCCCGCCAGCACCGCAGGGCACCGGGCAGCCAGGCCCCCTGTGCCTGTCCCCCTGGGTAACCAGCGGGGAGCACAACCAGGGAAAGTGCTGAGTCCTTTCACTGCCTCTTTAGTTTGGAGTTTTTATGGCTTATGCGTTGAGTATTTTCTCTACTAAGGTGAAAATTGCTAGTTCTTCATGTGGCTGGGAGAGTTCAACCTTAAAAAAAAAAACAATAACACGAAATGTGCAGAAGTTGATCCTGCGACCTTATCTTCCTCGGTGTGTGGTTAGGCCACAGCACCCGTGGCCAGATCCCCATTGGCGCAATAGGCCTCATGGCCAGCAGCAGTGTATCACAGGACAACATCTGCGGACACCGAGCACAAAGACTGCCATTCTGGAGCCCTGCAGAGTGCCTCTTCATCCACTCCCCGTCCTTCAGCAGGCTGCAATACACTAAAAGCACACTCCATGTGTTCCTGTTCCAGTCATAAAATGCTCCACAGTTGCACATTTGTAAGAAGAGAGTCATTAGGCCTTAGTCTGCAGAACATTTGATTTCTCCCTGCATTACTGCTTGGATTATTATTTACCACAAGCTCAAGAGTGGGGAAGTGTACTTCCAGTCCTCAGGTCCCCTTCAGAAATAAGAAAGGTGAATTGTCCCTCAGCGAGAAGAGAACAATACGAGGAAGACAGTCAGTGAGCTTAGCAAAATGAAGAGTGAAAAAGTATAAGATTTCTATAAATACATCAAGGGGAAAATAAGAAATGAAGGAGTGAGCAGTTTAAGCTAAACATTATTGCTGGTACAGGAGCAAACAGGCATTAACTGACTACTAGTAAACGAAGGCTGAAAATTAGAAGGCTGACAGCCTCTTGTACTGTCTGATCCTATGGCTGTCAAACATGGGAGCTGCAGACAAAAACCCCAACTATAGAATAAAACTGTTAAGGCAACATGAACAATGTTATAACATGGTACTTCAAAAGAAAGCACTTGAGTCAACATCCCAAGCTGTCCCCGGTAGGCCTGTATGTCTGAAGGCTTCTCCTTAGCTGCGCTAGCACCACAGGCAAGCGTTTCGCTTTCATTCCACTTGTCCACTTGTAGTTATGTTTTCATTTCTGAGACCAAAGAGGAAGAAGAGAGGTTGTGTTGCAGTTCAAGGGCCAAGACATGAAATGGTCAGCCAGTTTGGCTTCTGTTCCCAGCTCCTCAGTCTCTAGCTTCTGGCTTGATCCTTGATCATCCTGCTTTCCCCCATTTTGACTCAGTTTATACCAGGTAGGAGCTAAAAATGTACACACATCTTTATTATTTGTACTGTAGTAGTGCTGTAGAGCCCAACACTACATTTCATATGGAATACAATGCCCATCCTCCAAAATGTTTATTACTAGGTATATTTAACAAGCAAATATTGGAAGTAAACACAAGTCAAAAGAATTTGATCCTGATCAGTGAGATGAAGCTGCCTTATTAGTTTTGAAAAGGTCTGTGGGACCTTTGAATCCCAGAAAAGTGACATCATTAATACAGGTTAAATGATCTCTATAGGGCTTAAAGATGCGCACATATGGCACTAATAGTAAACAATTAATATTAATTTTACAAAATACAATGCAAATAGCATATAAATATGAATTATAGAATTATACAATAATTTAGGTCGGAGGAGACCTCAGGAGGTCATCTGCTCCAACTCCTCGTTTGCAGCAGGCCAACTTGAATCAAACTCAATTGAACAGATCTTGAACAAGGAAATTGTGCCAGAATCGGTCTTTTTAAATTCTACCATTGCCAAAGAAAGTAGAGTCCTGCGTGGCCTCAGCAAATCCAGAGCCAAAGTTTCTGTGATAAGCCTGGCGATATTCTCCCAGACCTCTGGGTTTCCCAGCTAGGTGGAAATGAATTTAATTTGAGTCTTGCTCTTAAAATCATTGGTTGTCCTACAGTAATTATCAACATGGCACCCCATAGGAAGATGCTCAAAGGGCCAGTCAGATTAGTTATATCAAGCTGCATTAAAGAGCAGCCAGCCCTGCACACCATTATTAGTCACAGCAGAGATTAAACAAACCTGCTTGGCCTCTTTCCCCTTTGCTTTGTACTGATGTTCACAGATAAACCCATGCGGGAGACGCTGGAAAGAACTGAATGTCCTGTGGGAGCTCTTATCAAGACCAGGGAGTGAACAGTGAATAACCACTCAGCAAGTCACCTTCTAAGTTTAAAAAGCAGCCTGTTGTTTTAAAGTATGTTAGTCATCAACAAATGGGCTGGAATGTTCTCCATTCCCTCCGTCCCCCCTCTGCAGTCTCCCTCTGCTGGGATTAGCTAGCCGGTTTTCCTCCTACTTTTTCAGAGAACAAAATCTTTTGCCTGTTTTTAGAATCTCACTTGTGTCATCTTGTTTGGAAAGCTAGCATATATTTGTTCTAACATGTGTTTGTTCCTTTTCCTTTGAAATGTAAGCTCTTGAGACAGGGGCTTTTTCTCAACCAGTATTTGCCCAGCGCTGGCATGACCATCTTCATCAGAGCCTGCCTCCCTTCCTGGACTGCGAACAGCAATTCCCAGTCACGCAGTGTTTGCTCCTGTGCTTCTTCACAACTGGAAATAGACTCAGCTCCTGGCAGCAAGAACCCGATCAGAAAAGACCACAATCCACTCCAACCCCGTCTGGGTGTCTCAGGAGCTTTGTGGCTGATGGAGCTCCCCTGCCTGTGCCCTTCTCTCTCCGTTCTCACTGGTGGGCAAGGATACACTTCCCAATGCAGCACACAGTCACATTCTTTCGTGTTTCAGTTATTTACAAACAATAGTGCACATGACCTCCTCACAAGTGATTGATTAAAGCCTCTCTTAAAATGTGGGTTCAAAACTATAAAGAACGTCAATTTCTGGAATTCAACCAAAGTGTCCCCAGAGAGCAAAACAGACACCACAGCGCAGTGCCCTAACTCCAGAAGAGGGATTCCACTGAACATCAGCTCTTTTAGCCCTGTTTCATTCTGCCTTCAGCTCCCCAGCGATAACACTTCCTGGTCTTCCTTTTCTTTGCAATTTTCTTCCCTTCTGACCTTTCTTCCAGTTCAAGGAATGCGAAGCTAAAGACTCATTTTTTCTGTGCACTACTAAGATGTCAAGATAT